CCCGACCCTGGTGGCGTCAATGGCAGCGTCTGCTTGCGTCACGCGCCGTGCCCGCCCTCTTCCTCCTCCTCCCGCTTCCCCGCGCTCACTTTTTCCCTTTCGTTCGCGGCGGCGGCGGCTGACGCGACTGCGCCTCATGCTAATGAGCTCGCGCGCTTCCCTCTCCTCGCTGCCTCCCTGCTTCCCTCCTCCGCCCGGGTCCGGCCAAGGCGAGCGCGGCTCCGAGCGGAGGGGAAACTTAAGGCGGCCTCTTGGTGTTCACCCCTCTTCACACTCACCCCCCACCGAGCACCGCCGCCGCCCCCCCTTTTTGAAACTTCGCCCGGCTATTTATAGAACCCTCTCCACCCCAAGTAGCTCGGGCGGGAAGGAGACTTTGCCCTCCCGGGAGGGAAGTGCTGTCAGCTCTCTGGATGCTTCCTTCGCCTCTCCAAAAGCGAGGGACTGCGGGAGCGGTTGCCGCGTTCCTCCTTCCAGGCACGCGAGGGAGGCCCACTTTGCCAAAGGCGCTCAAGGTTCCTTTTTGGAAAGGAAAAAACCCTCTCCACCCCAAGTAGCTCGGGCGGGAAGGAGACTTTGCCCTCCCGGGAGGGAAGTGCTGTCAGCTCTCTGGATGCTTCCTTCGCCTCTCCAAAAGCGAGGGACTGCGGGAGCGGTTGCCGCGTTCCTCCTTCCAGGCACGCGAGGGAGGCCCACTTTGCCAAAGGCGCTCAAGGTTCCTTTTTGGAAAGGAAAAAACAAACAAATAAATCTTTGAAAAAGTCTTCCGGGAGGAAAGTGGAAGTGAACCAAAGGGACTCAACGCCTAACTTCAGGGTAAATAAAGAAAAACAGAATCGGTCTGAAGTATTTGCACGGGACAGGGCTGACTTGCGAAAGGAATCCCCGTTGAGTTTCGTGGGATTTCTCAGTTGAAAAAGCCTAGGCTCCGCCTGATCTCACTGACATCCGAACATGTGCCTTGCAATCCTATCAAGAGCTTGGGAAAAAGTTTGTGTTTATTTTTTTTACTACAACTCCCAGAATCCTTCATCCAGCATAGGTATTATCTGAGGGTTATGGTCGAAAAAAGTAACTTTTCCAAAGTGAAGTTTAGACGGTGGAGGCTGGAACTCTCTGATCTTCCAGATGTTTTTGGAATGCAGTTCCCATCAGTCCTATTTAATATAGGCAATAGTAAAGGATTCTGGGAGTTGCAGTCCAATAACATCTGGAAGGCCACAAATGTTTCCTGTCCCTATTGTACACTGACCCGCAGCGAGCACTCCTGGGGATTGATTTCAGAGTAAAAAAAAAGGGTAGGCCTGAGTTGTGAAGTCTAATTTCTACCCCGATCCTTCTTCTTTAGTTTACCTTCCCTCTCACCCCCACCCCAAGACACACACCTGCAGACGTGGCTCCACGTGGGGCGAGTGGGGGGGGGGAAATAGAGAGATCCAGCCACTCCTCTTCATACTTGCCCGGCCAGATCCTTGTTCGACCGTGGAGAAGTCACTGAACTCGCCGGGAGGTGGGACGGAGAGAGACGTTTTGATCGGCTGGGGTGCGGGGGGAGAAAAGGACATTCAGTGGGGGTAAAAGAGGAAATGTTCGTCAGTCTAAATCATCCTCACTTTACCTTGTCCCCTCCTCCCCCCACCCTTCAGAACTCACAGAATAGGACTTGTGGGGAGCGAGAGTGGAGTGGGCATATGCCACTCTGGATCAGCAGGTCCTTCTGGCGACCTGCTGATCCACCATCAGCCGCGGGAACTTCTATTAGCCCCTTTGGGCTCTTAATGGCCACCCTGGACGCCTGGTCCAGTGGATGGAAAGCGAACCAGAAGTGGGAAAGCCCAAGAAAAGAGCACCAACACCAGTCGGCAATGCCATCTTTACTTAGATAAGGACTTACTCGGAACTAAATCCGGCCACTGAACTCAGGGGACCTTGCACTAAAACCCTCTGGACACTGACCCGGGGACGTTCAAGACGGCGGAGTCCTTCGTTGTTCGGATCGTTCGCAGCCTTGCGTTGAATGGACATCCACTGATCCTGAACCCACTGCTCTCTCTCTCCTCACGGAGTCCTTCCCCTACTGGGCTGGGGTAGGGTGCTTGCCGAGGGGCTCCCCCGGCCTCTCCCCCGAGTCCTCATAGTCTGGTCCGCGGTCCTCGTCGCCAGGCGGTTCTGCATATCATGTACAATGAAAAGAAACACACACACACACACAATCCTGCAAGCACCTTTTCCTAACTCCAGGAGCGATACCTGGTGCGAGCAGGTCGGTTTCTTTAGTCCTCTCACACGTTGAAAAAGCGAGAGCAGCTGGAGCGCGGGTTGGGGAGGGGAGGCGGTTCGGCAGCGCTTGTGCAACCTGTGGACCGCGTGGTCTTAGCCTGCAAACGAGATGCACTGCCTGCGTCAATGCATTCCTGGCTCTTCACCGGTACCGTGCAGGGGGAGCAGATCCGGCCGAAGACGGTCCTTGTTTAGGCAGGGAAGAGGGAGGGGGAGATCAGCAGTCCCGTGCCAAGCAGAGGGAGAAATAGAGAGCGCCAACTTTTGCACGCCTACTCAGAAGTCAACCCCGTGGAGTTCAGTGGGCATGGCTGCCCGGGAAAAGCGGGTGCACCAGTGTATCACCTTAGATCTGAAAATGGACAGAGTGTCGAAAATGGGGTGCGCACCCCGTGGGAGAAGGCTGCCACACACGTACATGGCTAAATGCAGGACAGCCATAGGCAGAGGCTGGGGGGAGGGGGAGGGCTTGGAATTTGTTCTTTGCGTACACTCTGGGGAATCGGGGTGTCCTCGACTCGTGGGGTGGGGAAGGGCCCGGCCCCTCCTGTGGCCCAGGCGGCGCGAATGGGAAGGCGGGCACCAGGCAGCGGGGCGGCGAGGGTAGTTGTTTCCCACCTTAAAAGCGCCACTCTTTGGTGATGTCACGTCGGAAATTTACCAAAGCAAGAACTAGCCAACTGTGCCGAGCGATCCAGCCCCTTGCCTGGCTGATTGGGCGGGCGGCACTGACGTGCACTGACGCTTGGAGACTTGAGGTGCATGTTGGCTTTGCAATACGGAGCCCACATAAACAAAGGCACATTGGAGGGAAGGGCCAGTCGGTCCGGCTGGCTCGCTCGCAGAGCCCGACTTCCTGGAGGAACGCCGTGCGCCTGCCTTCGCGCGTATGCTGGCGTGAGACGCACACACACACACACACACACACACACACACACACACACGCACGCACACACAGAGAGAGAGAGAGCCAAAGAAAGGGAGAGCGCGGAAGGAAGGGAAAGAAGCGGCGGCGGCGGCAGGAAAGGCGCGCGGGCGCCGCTCGCTCTCTCTCCCTTTCGCCGGCGGATCCGCCCCAGGGAATCGGAGCTGAGCCCCCACCGGATGCATGAAAAAGACGCCGCCTAACAGGTATGCGGATCGCGCGCGCCGCAGAACTGCTGGCGGATGGCTGGACTGACGGCTGGACCGGCCATCTGGACTGGTGACCCCCCCCTTTTCTAAAGGCAAAGGGGAGCAATTGCTGGCGGGAAGCGGGGGAGAGAGCTGGGGAGACAAGGAGCGTCTCGGTGGCGACCCCTGAAAGAGGAACGCGTGGTGCGGGGATTGGGGGGGAGAGGGGGGGCTGGTCCCGATTGTACTTCCAGGTATCTCCCCGCTCGGGCCCTTCGGATGATTTTTCCCCCCTGCCAAGATCTCCAAACTGCTGCTTTGAACAGGACGGCGGAGGAAGTCGAGGTCGGCTTCCCTCCCTGCCCTGCTCGGAGGCTGTCAAGTCCTCACGTGTGAATGGGAGTCCTCGGGGTGGATTGTGTCTCGGGTTCAAGGGCAAGAGAAAAGTTGTCGGGCGCGTCGTTGCTTGGGAACGACTTTGGTTGCCGCCGGGGCGAAGGCCTAGCCCCCGGCCCCGGAGTGCGGTCCGCGGTCACTTGGTCGCCTTTCCTGCTTATTCCTGCCGCCGGCACGAATGGGCAATGTATCGACGAAAGGGGCCCTTCGGATGATTTTTCCCCCCTGCCAAGATCTCCAAACTGCTGCTTTGAACAGGACGGCGGAGGAAGTCGAGGTCGGCTTCCCTCCCTGCCCTGCTCGGAGGCTGTCAAGTCCTCACGTGTGAATGGGAGTCCTCGGGGTGGATTGTGTCTCGGGTTCAAGGGCAAGAGAAAAGTTGTCGGGCGCGTCGTTGCTTGGGAACGACTTTGGTTGCCGCCGGGGCGAAGGCCTAGCCCCCGGCCCCGGAGTGCGGTCCGCGGTCGCTTGGTCGCCTTTCCTGCTTATTCCTGCTGCCGGCACGGATGGGCAATGTATCGACGAAAGGCAGCTTTTATAGCGGCGGGGGTGGCTGAAGGTGGGGGTGGGGTGGGGGAACCACGCCGGCCTCCTTACTTAGCGCAGTCTGTCAGACTGTCAAGGCTAAGCTGTCGGGAGGGAGAAGGCTCTTCCAGCCCTCCTCCAAATGGGTGGGAAGAAATGATTATGGTAGTGGCGGTGGCGAGGAGGATGAGGATGAGGATGATGGGAGCAGTAAATCAACCGGCAGATGAAGGGCCAGCTCTGCTGTGAGTGGAGTTCGCGTGAAGGGCATCAGACACTCCGGAGGAGCAGCGAAGCGGAGTCCCCAGGTGGGCAGGCTTCCGCTGTGAACCTGTGAAAACTTCCCCGGCTTGGCTTGCTGTCCTGTTGAGACGCTGTCCTTGGGGCGAAGTGGAAGGGATGCAATCGCAGGGGAAAAAAAGCCTCCGGTAAGAAGTTGGCTTGCGTCAGGTTCCGAAGGGGATCCGGAAGAGGAGGGAGAGGTATCCCTTTCTCGTTTAATCCAGATTTGTTACTGTGGACAGCTCACCCCTTGGAAACCTCTGCTTGTTCTGTAGGCGGCTTGGTGGGTTTCATCCGTAGCTTCGTTGGCCTTTAATTGCCTTCGTCTTTGCGCCTGTCTGTGTGAGTGCCTATGTTTCAATTAATTCATTTATGCCGTTAAGCGTTCTTCCGCTAGCATCTGAAATGCGTACAGTCCTGTGGAGTATCTAGAGAAAGGGGGTGAGCTTTCCCTTCTCTCTAATTTTATCTTATTAAACTGACATTCGGAGTCTTTTTTTAAAAAGTCTAATTCAATTGGATTCCGAAATATTAAGTTATCTCCAAATAAACTGTGGTGTATTTTATATACTTAGGCATCTGCATGTGTATACTCTTTCTATATATATATATTTATACACACACATATATACCCAAGCATAGGTACACACCACCCAACAGTGGGAGGGGGATAAAATGTATTTCTCTACGTGTTTACCGCACAGTAAGGATAAATAATGTGGCATGACAGCTCTTTAAATGAGCAGGTTTTCTCCTTCCACGTTCATTAGATAAGGAGAGAGAGGGAGGGAGAGATGGGGATGGAAGAAGAAACCTTGAAATATGTACATACACACACATCACCTGGAAGGAGATGATGTACCTAAAATCGTCGCATCCCCTGTTTTGCCCAAGTCCTGCTGGTGGGGTTCGAGATTTTCGTGTCTTGTGTTTGCTGCCGGTCTGTCCCAGGACTAACCAACTTTTCCCTTTTGTGTCTTGTCTGTTTTTCCAGAGAGCGTCCCGGGCAGGCTGGCGTCCACAGCACTTCGCTCAAGTCTTGGCAACTTGTCCCTCCGGTGAATCTCGACGCTGTCCGCCTTTAATTCCCCCCAACACGCCTCTCACTCGGCCGAAGGTGAGTGAGCGGCCGGGCTCCTGTCCTTCTCCCTTCGCACACCCACCCGTCCATCCCGGGGCCCCTTCCTGGCCAACTCTCTTCTCTCCTGAAGGAGGAAGGATGGGCCCTCTTGGCGCATCCCGAGAGCGGGGCTCGCGCAGCATTTGGGACCAGGAGGGAGTAGATCTGGGCTGGGGGTGAGGTGGGGGTGCGGAGCCCACGGTGAGGGGCCGGGGAGGGAAAATGCGGGCTACCCTGGGGTCTAAACACTGCCCACTCTCGGATCCTGCCTCTTCTCCGGCTGGTCTGCGGGGCCAACCTGGAGAAAAAGCGCGCCCCTCCCCCTCCCTCCCTTCCCGCGA